TGGGTAATTTATAAGGAAAACAAGTTTATTTGGCTCACGATTCTGGGACAGCTGCATCTGGCACGGTCCTCAGACTACTTCTACTCATGGCGGAAAGTGGCAGGCAGCTGGCGGGTACAAGCAGGTCACATGGTGAGAGGAAGCAAGAGAGAGAGGGAGGAAGTGCCAGGGTCCTATAAACAACAAGATCTCGTGTGAACTAGTAGAGCGAGAACTCACTCATTACTCCTGCCTCCCCCAGGGAGAGCATTAATCCACTCATGAGGGATCCACCCCCATGACTCAATCAGTTTCCAAGACTGCCACATTGGAGATCACATTTCCACATGAGTTTCGGAGGGGACAACACATCCAAACTCCATCATTCCTCCCCTGGCCCCCCAAAACTCATGTCCCTCTTACATACAAAATACAATCATTCCATCCCAACAGTCCCAAAACTCTTAGCTTGTTCCAGCACCAGCCTAAAAGTCCAAAGTCCAAAGTCTCATCTGAGACCAAAACAAAAGTCCTTCCAGCTTTGAACCTGTAAAANGGCTTTCCTGGTCTCAGGCCACACTTCACCTCTCCCAGGCTGGTGTTCCACTCTCATAGCTTCACAGGTCTGGGGTCTCCATGGTGGTCCCACTCTCATGGCTCCAGTAGGCATGGTGCTATTGGGGTTTCTCTGCTGCAACTCTGACCCCACATTTCTGTTCCACATTGCTCTAGTAGATGGCCTCTGCAGTGGCTCCACTCCTGCAGCAGGTCTCTGCCTGGGTCCCCAGGCTTTTCCATACATCCTCTGGAATCTCGGTGGAGGATGCCACACCTCCACTGCTCTCACATCCTGCTGGTCTGCAGACTTAAAACAACGTGGATGCCACCAAGACTTTGGGCCTCTATTCTCCAGGGCTGCTGCATGAACCACACTTGGGGCTGCTCCAGCTGGAGCACCTGGGATGCAGGGAGCAGGATCCCGAAGGCAGCTGTGCCGCAGGTCTGTCCTCCAGGATAACTCAATCCTACTAGGCCTCAGGGTCTGTGATGGGTGGGGCACCCTTCCTGACTTCTGAAATGCCTGCAGGGCTTTCCTCTCATTTTCTCTGCTATTAGAATCTGGCTGCCTCACCACCAAGATAATGTCTTTAGCAACCAGTTTATCTGTTTCACCCTTGCATTGTTCTCTGGCTCTCTGCTTCTTTACTGCATGGCCAGGCTGCAAAGTTTCTGAATCTTTATGCTCTGCTTCCCTTTTAAATTCTGGCTTTACATCATGAGTTTGCTGCCATAACTCAGAGTAGGCTCTTAGAAGTAGCCATGCAGC